ACAAAGTTGAAATTTCCATGCATACGCATTCTTAGAAAGCAAGAAAGAAAGTGCTGAGCATGAAAACGAATGGTTAATACCAGTTCATTTGCGAGGGACTCAGGTGCTAAGTACTCTTTGCATTTCCAGTTTAGACCCGCCAAAAAACTAAATCGGTGAAATGTGCGGCTGAGGCTCGTACCTGTAGTGGTCGCTGCCTGCCCGACACCTGGCCTTCCTTTCGATACCTCAATCCGTCTATACTTCAAGGTCGTGGCGGCCGCCAAACTTAGTGGCGCGCGAGACACGGACCGCCCACGTCGATGTCTACCCACACGCTGTCCAACCAATCGAAGGCCGACCTAGCCAATGAACGCTCTCTCTCTGTCTACTGGCCTGACTGCTGTCAAACCAGCAATTGGACTCAACTGGCTCTCCTGGCCGGTTGTATGGTCTCCAAGTCAAATCTCTTTTAGTACTTAGTATTTCAAAACCACACTCCTGAACCTGTTCCAACAGCCAGATGATAATCTGGTTGTCGACAGTATCCGCCGTCCTCGTTCAAGATGGTGTATACAAACGTCTCAAAGAAAGATGGAAAACACGACAGCCGATCACTGCGGACTTACGTGAACCGCAAATGCTAATTAGCGCCCACACCAGATGACTATTAATTGTCCACCTCGTACTGACGCATATAAGGGTTGCCAGTTCGCAATTACGACTACTAATTTTGTTCACTGACGCAAATTGCGGTGGCCAATTAGCGCTCACACCAGATGACTAGATAATTGTACCAGCACTTTTGACATTTGATGTGTTCGTTACATATCTTTTTCAAGTTTGACGACGACCTGGGGGGTCCAGCATCGAAAATTTACTGAGTAAAGTTACCTCATGTCCCAAAGAACGTCTTTCCCTGAAAGTACATTTCATGGGATGTCTGCATTCCAGTTTATACGAAACCAGAAAGTGGAAAATAGGCAGACTTTAATCTGTACTTTCAATGGCAAGGACAGCAAAGTGCTGAAAAGCTCGAAAGGAGGTAGCACAAACAGTGAAACACTCCAATTTATCACTTGCAAGAGGAATTAGTTTTAACAGACCGTGAGTTAGGTTTAAAAAAGACCTTGCAAAATTTGAAATATGCAATGGGCACTTACCAGGTAAAAATGTACTGCAAATGTTCGTTCCGAATATTTACTCGTGTTTGACCACCAACTGGACCACCCTTGACCGTGGAATCTGAAGAGCATAAAAATTGTTTTAAATTTTCAAATGCAGTTGGTCTTAAAAGGGGGATTCTAAGAAGCTAAGAGCATCGCAACGAGCAAGAGATACGAGAGGCGACTACCAGAGTTAACGGCTGGGAATCACTTAAATGCCAGCTTACAAATATCGATAAGGAATAGGCGCAACGAAAGTAAGCCAAATCATCAGATCAAGGGTTTATTAAAAAAGGAAAGCAATATGCTGTTGATGGAGCGTTTACTGAATGCAACTAAAATTTTGCAGGAAATAGGCTAAAAACAATCTAAGTTTGGATTTTACTAGAAAAGCCTTTGAGCTGAAACTGAGCTAGCAGTTTCTAACGCCAGCTGAGGCAATTGGCACCAAACCACTGGGGCAAGCTTTGTGAGATCATACATAAAGTTGTCATACGTACTGAAATTATTCAAGTAGCAGGTAATGCAGCATTGCAGAAAGCAAAGAAAAGTATTCAATGACAAATCTCACCGTAGTTGGCGTCAATAAATATGGGCAAAGTGTGTAAATACTCAGAGATCCGAGTTATTTCGCGACCATAATATTGTATGTGAGGGGCTTGAGTCGGTTCGCAGCAGGATAGTGGTTGTGGATCCGGAGCAAGGAATGGCTGAAAAGGTCATGGAGACAACTGTAAGGTGGGCGTCGCCTGTGCCATTGATTTCGGCAGCCATACGCCTTACTAGTGCAAAAAATAGTCACTTTTGAAATGTGATATTTTTTCCTCTATTGAAGTCTATTTAACAGCCAACCCTAACTGAAGGCCGCTGCATTGGCCGTAGCGGGCGGCTAGCTGGACAAGCAGGTCCCAGCTTCTCAGGCTTCCTATCGAGTTGGTAGCCGTACTAAAAGGCTGAATATGGCAAACAAGGTTGATAGGTAAAACCCAGTACTTTGACAGCATTCACGAACAAACTACCAAAATCGAAGGGATGGGGTAAGTGCTCAGTTGAAGAGCCGTTTGACTTCGACTGACCAGCCGAGTGGAAAACAGGGATAACAATCTGTTAATTCATTCCTGCAACTGTGCATAGAATGCCAGACTCTATGCGTTCTGCTTTAACGGAACCCATAAAAATTTCAGACTAAACTGTTTAATAAGCAGAAGCGTGACTGGGAAAGTATATGTATTCTTCATGACTGAAATATGTCTGACTATAAAACTCACCTTTTCATTGTATCGTATACATCCGTTGACTTTAACGAAGCCTTCAATCTAAACAAAATAAACATTAGAACAACTGCGATAGCCCAAGACGCTGACAAAGTAGTACAATAATAAGTTATGAATTTCGAAAAAAACTAGAGAAAAAATATACAGCAAAATAGAAAACAGTACATAAAAGCACGAAAGTACCTACTTGACCGGTCTTCCTCGCAAACGGATCACGAGTGCACGTTGGAATCCAGCCACGGTTAATCAAAACAAACGTCCTGAAGAGGATTAAGGGGTAAGAGAAAGGAGAAGAGGTAAATAAGTTACCCTGGTCTGTCCTTAAGTTCAAAGGGTGTGACAACGAAAAAGCCGGTGGCGGAAGGCGCGCCGAAATTGCTGAGATTGGAGTCTTTGCGACCGTCTGGTGGGGGCTTTGAGCCCCACGCACTCCCATAGCCCCCATAAGGGATCTCATCTGTTATGATAGTCCTCGGTCCGATGAGGACCTCTCGTGAGTGGTCAAAGCGGCCCTCTACGGTAACGGGTTGGAATTCGGGCAAATCAGTGCTGGCCTTGGCACTCAGAAGGGAACGAGGGAGGTAAAGGGGCAGAGGAATGCTAATTTACTCTTTAGGCAGAGGTATCGGAGGTGATGGCAGGAGATTGTCAATTTTTTCAAGTAGCGCCAGCTTCCATTTTCGACGCTGAATTTGCCAGTAGCCAAGGCTGAAGGCGGTGAGGGGACAAATCTGACGGCAGGATCGGTAAGTAAACCAAGAGGTGAGCTTACCAGTAGCAGAAAATGTTTTAAACTTATCTTCTTTTCGCCGTCATCGTCGTATTCTGTACCGAAACGGCGTGCAGGGACGGTGATGCATCGATTGTAGCAAAGTCTCCTTCCAAATATGGCCGAAAAAGCGGTTTTCCTCAGGTAAAATGCCCTAATAAGGAGGAAAGATACAATTCTGATAGAGTGCCTGACACATTCTGCCTACCCCTTATCAGCTGGATAACCAAATTCCTCTAGCCTTGATCAACGGCAAATTAAGATATCGTTAGAAGGTTGGATAATCCTTAGCGTTTTCGGAATACCGATCGCTTGTAAGTGACTAACTTCGTCTTGAAAGAAACTAATGTTAGAACATAGTTCCCGATTTATCTGACATGAAAATGGTTCAGCAGGGTCGTGGAGAGCGCACTTAAACAGAGACCAAACTTAGTGACGAGATATGTATCAAATCCGCATATGCCTTCCAAGACCTGATGATACAACACCGTGTTAAGACTTATGAATGATACTATGGCACTCAAAGCGCTTGTTTGGTTCATTATTAGGTAATTGAAAAACGAGATGAACTGTGAGGGTTGTGATAGGCGGGCTGAAGGTTTTTCCTCAAAAATATTAATGAAACATTGTTGAGTAAGCGTGCATGAACGACTCCGGTCGCAGTAATTTCGAATTGGGTGAAATCGGCGACGCACGCTACTTATTTACCAATAGCGTTTCTTTAACTTCCGGTTGGCATAGAACAGACCTACTGTGCAAAACGATTTGTGGTGGTCTCAAATAAGTAAGTTACCTGTCGCGAATATAGGCATTAATTTCACTTAAAGGAAATCACTTAAATTTTTAAAGCCAGGACGTAACTTTGAGCATGCAATCAAGAATGCTTTTTAAGCTAGGTTCAAAAACCTTATAGGCGATGTTGAAATTAGTCTTTTCAACCGCCTTGAACGTATTTATAGAAAGAACAGACGATTTCCACTAATGAGTGGAGTGAAGTAGCCACTGTCAACTATCTGGCCGTCTAAGCACAGGTTAACAGTCAGAGTAAAAATCGGTCTAATGGCACTGGGGTCCTTAAAGCTCGTTTCACACTTTTGTGAGAAAAGGAAGCGAATGTCCATCACGCAACACCCTCCTTAGGGCGTGTGATTGAACAGCGAATGACACCGAATATATCGCCTACATAACCATTTATGGCGTAAATGATGACTGTTAGCTGACTTATTAAATATCAATCGATACCTGCCTGCCTGCCTAGAACGATAGCAAGGGGCTTCGACGACCTATGGAATAAAGTCAACCTTCAAATGACCTACCAATCCAAGGTAGAAGGCAGTCTGGAAAGACGTCTGACACTTCTTTTCCCAACCTCTAGCCCTAGTTTTGTATAGTTCAGTATATTTAAGGGTAGCAGGTACTGCCTTTGAAGACCACAGTCAAGACTGCGCCTAGAATTATTTCCATTAAAACAAATATGTTACTATAAAATGGGAGTAACATATTCCTATGGACAAAGTATTTTTGTAACGGGGATTTGAGCAGCAATCCTGAAGAGTCAGAGATAGCATACGTCAAATAATAAATATCAGCGTTATCTGTAGATATGAGCAAGGAGTTGGTATGTTCCAACATAGCTTTCTTGTACGGATAAACGAGGTCGTTCAAGTAAATATATATCAAGCCTAGTCTTGAATGCGTCTGTCATGTCCACCATTATAACGTCCTCGGGAAGTCCGTTCTAGGCGCCGACAAATCACTGTGAAAACGGTTGGCGACGAACATTCAGGTGGGATGAGGTTCCTTAGAGTTCGAGAGAAGTCCCGCGCAAATACCAAAAAACATGCTTCAGTGATCGCTTCCTGGAATTCGCCTAACCGCTTATATCGGTGCTCCGAGATTATAACTCATATATTGCACGGGGGAATTTGTTGGCCTCTTTGAAATTCGGATTCCGACTACATCGCATACAATTCATAATTCCAGGGTCACAATGTGCAGGCGAAGCAGACAACGCCCTTGACGCATTATGTTCCCAGTCATGCGCGCCATAAATTCTTATAGCGGCTAGTTCTGGCTTAGTATCAAAATCAACACTACCCATATCTAAAACATACACCACGAGGGTCCGAGATTTGAACGCATAACAGCAGGTCAATAAGCATGTTCTCTAAACGTGTCACTAACCAGTCTGCGAGAAGCACCATTGCATCCGGCCTACCTGACGACTACGAAGGCATATGGCATGCGCTAGACGGATTGCGCTGTTTCGTTAGAATATACGTTAGATGTATGTTCCTCTATTAAAATAAAACATAGACTGTAATAGTCTACCATGAAACTGGCTTTTACGGTAACTCTAACCTACATGAGACCAAAAATGATACTTCCACTTCGTCTGGCACCATAAGTATGGCTTCAGCATTATCAACTGCTGCGCCCATACCTGTCTGCAGTCCTATTGAGTTCCTCTCGGCTTAGAAAAGGGTGAGTGTGCGCAAAGAGATGCTGCTTAAGTCTCCCATGTTATAGCCTAATTAATGCACAAGTCGTAACTGAGACCCTAGGAAGGATAGGGCCATCGTACTTGCGACGAACGGACGACAGACGCATAGTGATAATAAAAAGAGAATGAGTGTTACCTATAGTGGCTTCGGAGAAAATTTGGATTTTTCGCGCAAACAGCACATGAAGAGCCAGTTGTCCGATAAAAATGAGGACTATTTTAATGAGTTGTACTGTACTAAAAAAGCAAAAATAAGTGTCCTTCTAATACCTATAGACGTGATACAATAAGACACGTTTTCTAGACGCCGGATATACCAGAGAAAGACTTAAATGTAGGCCTTGTAAAGTCCACATAACCATGAATTTGTCCCAAAGGAGTGGTAGCAGCATTAGAAAATAGTTCGCCAAGAAGAAATAAAACAACACATAAAAATTAAAAGTCTGAAGATGCAAAATACAAGTTGATGAGGGCGGATACGGCAAAATATTAGAAGCATGTTAGTTAGGTCAGGTTATGTCTATGAATTTTTCGACAGTATTTCCTCGTTTAACGAGAATTCCTGCGAAATTTAGATAATACACCCGGTAATCATGATGCTATGTTTACTACCACATGTAATTGATAAGGCTGTGATTGTGCGTGGTTGAAACGGCCTTGATCATGTTGCGAAATGTACTTCTCTATGCCTGACGATCTGAGGCAGTAGTTTTTGAGAGCTGGCCCAAATAATATCCCCAGTGACAGAAGGAGAGCGACCCTTTTCGTGTTTCGACGAAATGTGTTCAACTCCACTTTGGGTTGACCTATTCGTCGCTTCGCGGTGAGCAGTGGCATTAAATTAAACTCTTTATATGGTCTAAGATCTATTCGGGGTGCCGTTCCGCCGATGCGGACTTACCTCTTTGAGACGTCGGTCGACTTCATTCGAAAGGATTATCATAGAACAACAGATTCGCTTCGGCGGATATAGCCCAGAATTCATAGCACCAAAAGACGACTGACAAGACAGCCGATCGACGCAAACGCGTATGCGTACAAATGCTCGTAACGATGGACTTATCGCGGCAAGTTCACATAAACCCAGGCGTCGAGGCTTGCCATAATCTTGCAAGCATTTATGTGAGCGACGACGCCGCTTTTCGATCGTTAAGGACCAATTGATCTAAAGGCTTCAGATTTCTATCAGTGGGGTCTAATCATAAGAAATTAAACCTACTTAAGAATATTTTTCACACGTGAATTTGAAAGAAACCACCTACTAAATTCTCCTGCATAGACTACTATTTCAAGATTTGGTATTCTTCGAAATATTTACAATTAATAATGTAAAGCGATTACAATTTGTCAGAAAAAAGATATAGAACTCACATAAAAGTTCTAACGAGTAAAAACAGGCGAAGCGACTTGAAATAACGCCTTCCTTCAAGCACAGACAAATAACCTGGCGTTAGGTGTACGAAATCTGTTCATTTTTGAGGGATTTGATGTCGCTTGTCTAGGATACTTATAAATAATTAGACTTATTAGATCACAAATGACTGATGATTTGGCAGTGAGTCCTTCGGCTTCATGGTCCGACGCCTGACGGTTGATTCTGGCTTGTGACCATTGCCGCCTGTAAGGGGCGTAAGAAGGCAGCTGACTGCTTCCGAGGTATTCCTCGCGTATGGAAGAGCTCGCTAAATATAAGGATTTAGCCTCTTTTCCCGCATTCACTCGTTGACAAAATCGCATTAGTAACTATTCGCTTTCAGGACCTGTACAAAATTCTGGATCCACTCATTTCCCTTTTTGTCCCCCGTATGTCAAGAATGAATTCGGTCGTAGGCTGCCTAGACGCTTGCGTTGTTTGCATCAACAGAAGGATACTCCCGTTCTACCGCTGATCTAACTGATCTGTGAGCAGGCTAAAAAGCCTTCCGAAGAAAAACAGATAGACAATGAAGTCAACTTTATTGAAAACCCTTCGCTAAATGTTGCGAACCTCTTTACACGCACAGTAAAAGCGGCGAGAAAAGCGCAGCACCCCATGCTTCAAGACATTTTAGGAAACCCCCATAGTTGACGCTAATTTGACCGTTGATAGCTTCAGTGTGTTCCTGATCAGAACATGCAGTGAAATCGCGGTCTCTGTATTTCCGACCATCTGGGCTTGGACGGCTGCAGTCCTCGAAACCACAAGTTTTATCCTCTGGGACGTGACTGTGGTCATTCGTCTTTTTCTTCAATCTCATAGTCCAGAGCCAGATGGCGTCCTGGTCAGACTTCTAAAAGCTGAACCAAATGATATTTTTCCACCTATTCTGTGTAAGATTTTTAATCTTGCCCTTGAAGGCGAAACCTTTTCTATGTTATGGAAGGAATCGCACATACTGCCTATTCCCAAGCATGGCCGATCGACGTCTTTGATGACTTTAGGCCAATAAATACACTTCCCGCTGCCTCGAAGATCTTGGAGAACTTGATCAAAAAAGCTGATACGTCATTTAACAGAGAACGACCTGATTAATGCAATTCAGCTATGCTTCATCAAAAAAGATCCTGTGACAACTGCTATCTCTCCTTCTTTCATTATGTGCTGCAATCTACAGACGGTGTTTTTGCCCTTATAAAGTCTATTTTGATTTGACTAAGAACTTTGATCGGGT